TAGGTGTCAGAAGACTGGACAGGCCATCGTGCTTACATCTCACAGGTAGAAAACAATTTTTTGGGATTAGGATTTAGGGTACAGCCAGAAAAAGATTTGTTTTCTTTTCAAGCACACAGTATGAAAACAAAGGCTTTCACAGTTAGGTAGACATTAAGACAATTAGCTTTAGAATTTAGAAATATAACATTGAATGCTTTTAAAGGAAAATGACCTGAACCCTTTAAATTGTTTTGGAAAGACACAGTTTGAACCTCTCCTACTAAACAACAAACTTTTCATTCCTACTGCTAGTACTTGTAAGTTACTTTTATTCACTTGATAAGTTGAAGTTGTTTCATACATACACTGAGATTGAAACACACAACTTAACCTCTTGCACTCAGTCAGAAAGTACTGATCCACATCGATTTAAAAGAACCCCCAAAATCATTTCAATCCTTGGCTGTCTGCTGTAGCTTACGTGGTCAATGCTACATCTTCCTCTAATTCTCTGTGTATCAGCCCAGAACCCAATGTGGTAGCTTCTCCCCACCAGCTCGGAATGATCTTAGCTGCAAAGTTTTTTACTCAGTATCACAACTCACAGGCATAAAAACAAACAATAATGGGTCCCTTCTGAGTGTTTTTATGTTGGGCATCCAAGTGGTAAAGGCAACGGATGTGAAATTTATCTGAGCTGTTGTGCAAAAGACAGCGACCGGTACAGCGAACCATCAGTTCACACAGCTGATTAGGACATCACAAAACTTCTCTTTTTGATTGCAAAGAGTTATTAAAAAACTAATTTTTTGGTTTGATTGTTGCAGCATGGAGGAGTGTGAAGCACTGTGTTCACGTCTAACAATTCTGGTCGGAGGCCACATGAAGTGTATCGGTAGCACTCAATATCTCAAACAGAAATACGGACAAGGCTACACCATCATGATCAAACTTTTCACAAACAACCCTGACGCAGATGATGCATTGTTTGCATTCAAGAACGCTGTTAACAGAACGTTCTCCAGGTGTTTTATAAAGGATGAACACAAGGTTAGTTTGGATTTATGTTGTTTAAATTTGTCCACAAAGATCTGTCTTATTCAATAACTTTGTTTCTCGCAGTATGATAGAAATCAAGAAAAGTAACCTCTATAGTTTCTTTTTTTATGTTCAGGTATCAATGCCTATAATTTCATTAAATTCATTTTTAAGACTCAAAAATGCTATACTGTGCTCTTATTTAAATAGAAGAAACCAGTAAACCTCATTTTTATTGTTACAGGGTCTTCTCCACTACCACATAGCAGACAACTCAATGCTACTATCAGTGTTGTTCTCTAAATTAGAAGATCTCCGCAGTCAACATTCCATTGTAGAAGACTACACAGTCGGAGACACCACCCTTGAACAAGTCTTTATGTCATTTGCAAAACAGGTTCCTCCAACGATAGTTATTGAACCAGTTGATGTTTGAACAAAACAAGTATTTATGTTGTTTGCAAAACAGGTTACTCCGACAATAGTTATCGAACCAGTTGATTTTTGAACGAAATAGAACAAGTTAAAAAGGAGGATAGCAGCTAGCTTACCCATGGGGGACTTTCAAATGTAAGGAAACATTCACTTTCTCTACACTCGACAAAGTCCCCCAGGCGACAAAATATTGTATGTTCAGAATTTATGTGGTATTCCCAGTTTCAAGAACAAATTATTAATGTTCAGTTTCTCTTCTGAATGTTCTATGGCCTACCTGCACTTTTCAAAGATTCTATCCTCCTTATTCACAATTCAAAATCCTGGCCCAGAGCCTTTTCTTGGAAAAAAACTAAATAGAACAAGTATTTGATGTTGGCAAAACCGATCCCTCCTATAATGGTAGTAGGCATCCCGGTTGATGTCGAAGCAAACTCATGCATCCAATTGTACGATGTTACAATTGTGAGTTCAAAATTCTTAACATTCAAGCAAAAAGCTCATAGTACCATAAGTACTTATGTTGTGGGATAATTCTTGTAACTTTTTTGAATGAGTTTTGAAATTTGTATACATTTAATCATAAATTAATTTGAAGCATGGCATAACATATTGAATATGGCTTATGCTTTAAGAGGGTTCCACCCACCGGCTGTTTACCACGTAAACATGGTCCTACAAAAAAGAACCTCCTTGCAATATTAAAGTGTTTATTGAGTTGAAATAAACTGTAAAATATTCACAATGATCCAACAGATGCACTGTCTGACTGAAACTTCGTAATTGTTTCTTTAAGTGTTTACAAAATCATTTTGAACATCTGTAAATAAGTATTTTTCACATGTGGTTTTAACTTCTAAATAATAGTTAAAATTTTGCTCTACCCACTGCAAGCTCTGATATGTTAAGAGCACAACAAGCACACAACCATTGGAAACAAATTTTTAGAATGTTGAGAGCTTGTACTGAAAGAGGCATATTCAGGAACATTAGCATGTTTAGTTGCCGTCTTGAATTGACCGGGTAGAACCCTCTTAATGGTAAACAAAGTAAATATCAAAATTAAAATCCATCAAACAGTAAAACTTCTTTATAAAACTCTTTGTTGTTAAAATGTGATGTGTTTCATCCTTTATGCCAATGATCAGATTACAGAGGGTGGGAAAGCTGTATTAAAAATAGTTATATCAGTTTAATTATTTACTTACTTTATAGAACTAACGATTTCATTATAAAAATCCCACAACACTACTGTAATTAACACAATCTTTACACTAATTTATTTGAGGGATCAATTATATTGTTGATGATATTTCTTGTCCCTCAAAGGCTTTCAAAACATATTGTCGTCTATTACTTACTATAACCAATTTATCCTATATGAACAGTGTAACGCTAGGTGTCAACACATCGATTTTGGATGGTCAATGTTCGACCGACCCTTTAACGATGATACAGCATATACATCCTACAAGATATTTTCTATTGATGCCATTAGTTAATTTCAATTTCTTAGCGCCACTATTGGAATTTGTTTGATTTTAACTTTAAACAAACGTCCAAAAATATTTGACCTTGCACAAATGAATTGTGATGCATTGCATTACATGGTATGAATTGACTCTAACATGAGAATACATTCTTAAGAAATTTCAAAATTACACCTAATTTATCCATAAATTTTTCTTTAGTAGCTTAGCATTAAAATAGTTTTTAATTTTGTTGGTAATTTCTTTACTCGGTAATGAATGCAATTTCACTTGTATGAAGGTAATGTAAAAAGGTCTGGCTTATAGAATGAGTTTCAGCTGAAATAAGAAAATCATATTACAAATAACTAACTGATGTGTTCAGAAGGCCTTTGTAGTTGTTTAATATTGAGCAGTTCAGCTAATTATTGTAGCCTCGTGAATATTGGTAATTAAAAATGTTTAAGGTCATTAAAATATATTAAGTCTTTCTTTGAGTACAATACAATGTAGTTTACAACAATCTTTACTAAAACTTAAGTTTGAACTTCATTGAATTGTGTCTTAAGAATGCTATAATATGTTACGTACCTTGTTCCATCTTCAGTCTTAACTTAGTCTATGGATGACTAGTTTCGGGTACAAAGACCCATTGTCAAATCCTTATTTAAAACATCATATTGAATATGGTCAAATATCCGACGTAAGTCTTCATCAATGTATATACATGCAGGTCGACGACACATAAAATTTAAACATTTAAAAAACAAAAATTACAAATACCTTTAATACGATAGGCCGGCCACATTGAATACGGGACAAACCGACGCAGGTTACACAGCGGACACGACAGAACTCAACTGGTCTTTGTACCCGAAACTAGTCATCCATAGACTAAGTTAAGACTGAAGACGGAACAAGGTGCGTAACCTATTATATATTTGAATATCAGTCTTGGTGGCAAAGATGTTTAAATTAAGATCGCTAACCTATAGCCTACTTATTGACACCAATTTATGTTCTGGTTACATTATTAGTAAATGACTTACCGGTTAACTCCTATCTGTTATTATTATTATTATTAGCGAATTTCCCATTCAGGGAAAAAGTTTTTTTTGCAATTACAGTGGTATATTAGTTTTGAGGTTAATTTTTGGATTAATTAGTTTTACTTAGAGCTAGAGCTTTCAATGTGAATTCTTAATCTCATAACTTCAACAACCATTTCCTTGTAGTCACGTTAAGCCACCTACAGTATAAAATTTGAATTGTAATTTAACTTTTTTTCTCAAAGTCATGATTATCAAATTAATTTGCTTGATTTAATTATTCCATTACCCAGGTTTCCTTTGCTTTATATAAACCATATCTTTTTTAAGGTTAGAATCCATTTCTAGTCAATAATTTAGCCTAACCTATATGGTATACAATGTTACAATATGTACAATGTTATACAATGTATAGCTTTCAAGAATGTGATATTGTTGTTTAGTTTTAGTTCCATTTTTTAACAACTGATTTTAGTATTACTTTTTGTACCTATTTCTTGAAGTAAGATTTTTGTATTAGTTTACTAAAAATCATAGGAAATAACTTGTTGTTAATTCATATATCCAATGCTGGTGCTAATATTGAGTAGGCTAAAGTAATAAGCAACTAAACTGTTGTATGGGCTTTCCAATGTTTGTTTAAATTTAATGGTTAAATGAGTCATAACTTAAAAGCTTGTATCCTTAAATAAAGAACAAAACTGAACTGAAATTATATTTTTTGCTTCCTTGAGTCTTTGGTCACTCCAACAAAATGAGCTTGCTTCAAACATGTCGGTTGACATGCATAACATCTGCTAATTAAACTGATAAAAAAATGATTAATACATTTTTTGTTGCAACAGACAGCTTGGAAGAGGATTATTTGTGTAATCAACAGTTTAGTGCTCTCATAATTTTAAAACTCTACATTTTTACTATTGTCAATAGTCTACCACACAAAGTTACCAATGGTAGCTAGTTTTGTTGGCAGTGGTACCTATTAGCAGTTTTGTTAGCAGTTATGGTTAGTAAAACTCAATTACTTATACACCCAGTACTAACTTATTCGAGCAAATAACGTAGATCTTCAAACTCAACTGCCAGCTGCTGATTCTTACTTTAATCATAGAGGCTAATTTATTTTCCACACTTTTTTTCATGATAGCCCAGATCTAATTCAAAAATGAAATGAGGGTAATAAAAACTAAAATTTTTGGTGAGTAGGCGTACATTTACTAACAAATTATCATCTTTTCCTAACATAAGGCCATTGATAAACAGCAGCAGCTCCCTTTGTCGCATTTTTTACTTTCACAGGTTTTACACCAACTTTAGCTTTCAACGCTTTGTGAGTTTCAAGTTTGTTCTGCACAATGGTAAGTTGCTTTTCCCTTCGGATTCGCTTGTGAAGTTGATTATAAGCTCTTTCTTTCTCTCGCTGTAGTTTAAGAGCTGTTCGTTCATTCACGGATGGTAAGCTCAAGTGTTGCAACTCATCTGTAGTGAGTCGATTCGTTCTTCTAGGAATCAGATCCGGGTGTGTATCAAGCCTTTTGGCCAAATCAAACTCTTTCACTTCATTTTCAGAATCAACAAAGAACACGTGTGAATTTTTTACAGTGTTCGCTTCATCGATTAAATGAAGTTGAGATTGAAGTTTATCAATTTTCTTAGCCTCGATTGTTTTACGGAAACCTATGTAATTCAAATCCTTGCTTTCCATCAACTTAATTTGTTCTGGAGTATGCTTGTCTTCACGTTTCTCTTTGTGGACGCCATCAACAACTTTAGAGTTTATCATATGAAAATAAAATTCATCAGGGCTTTTGTTTTGGGCTTTAATTTTGAGCTTCTTGAGAAGTGCTTGCTTTTTGTTGTAGTCATCTGCTCTTTTCTTGTAGTCTTTCTTCTTTTCCAACAACCCCAAATGAGCTCTACTTTCTGGCTGATGTCGTTCCCGGTGAGTTTTTTGATTGATCTTGGATGCTTTTTTCCACGAAGACATTTTTAGTCTGGAAAAAGATAAGTATGTGATCAATATTTAATTAATAATATAAAAATAGGTTTACATACCTTGCGTCATCAATCCTAATTTAGTCTAGGCGACTAGTTCAGGTAGGCCTACAGTTTTTATCCTGAAAATCAGCTTTGAAAAATTATAAATAAACTATTAAATTCCGATAATACCCGTTTTTGGGTAAACCAAAATAAATATAGGCTCCTAATCCAACATAACTTGATCTAACTTAATCTAACCTAAGTTTAACCTAACTTAAACCAACCTAACCCTTACTTAAGTTAGCAAATTGCCGAAAATGGCGGAATTTTGGTTAAACCAAGGTTAGGTTAGGTAAGGCTAGCAAACCTGCAGACTAAGCGAATTTCAACTTGTCTGATTACATTTTTACTAAAATATTTCCATATTAAGACATATTTACTCCCTATTTAAATAACATTAGATTTAATGAGTGCTTAGGTTTGCTGCTACGGGGAAGGCAAAAAGTGTTTCTTGACCATACGTCAATAGTAGGGCCTATAGGATGAAATAAATTTGTCAAATTTTATCAATATATAGGGCAACAAACTACAACAATTTTCGTTTTCTCCATAAGACTAACATGGGAATTTTAAATTAGGCCTAAGGTACACTATTTTTGAATTTTCTCTGTGACCATTAGGCAGGGCCGGAACAAGGGGGGGGGGGCAGAGGGGGCGGTTGCCCCGGGCGGCAGGTTTGAGGGGTGGCAAATTTCTGGTTGCAGAAAATTTGTTTAATACAGTTTGTAAAAGTTTTTAATGAGCCAAACGTCATAAGGAATGTCAATTAAGTAATTTAAAAACTGCATAACGTAATAAACAAACAATAATTTTACAATAGCAATCAATATAAATTGCAACGGAGTAGAAAACACTGAGAGCCCTAATAGCATAGTTAGCAGCACAGCAAAGTTTGTTTACAATTTCAGCTGATCGCCATCCCAGTCAAGGCGCCATGCCGCCCTGCCTAACTGCCGTGCCGCCACCCCCCCCCCCTCCCACTCTACATAGGAACGGACCGCTCCCCTTCCACACCACTCGCTATCAGCGCACAGGTTCACGATTGAAAAGTTCACGTTGTGACTTGTACTGTTTATATCAAAACTACTGCGTCTTTTGTTGCGTTGCGTAATGCAACTACTGTGTTCCGTGTTTTCTGCTGTCGTTTAGTTTTTTCCTTCTACATGCATAATTATCATCTGTTATCGCACTGGTAATAATGTAATGTTTACTTCTTTTTACTGTTGCCTTGTTGTTTAATATAGCCTAACATGGATGGTCGAAAAAGGCTTAGTGGAGCACAGTACAAAAAATCAGCTAAAGAAAAGAAGAAGAGGCAAGACAATGTATTATCAAAGACACAGAAAATTGACCTGTTTTA